TAAAATAATCTCTCAGAAGATACTACAAATAAACTACTTGTCTTTCACACATTCTGAAGTGAGGTAGTTTACCTGGTGTAAAAGAAGTTTAGGAAGGAATAAGAAACTCCATTTGCATTGCCAGTAAAGACACAATATGCTTTCTGGTTCCTTCAGGAGATTGACAAGACTATTTAAAAAATAACACAAGATTGGTCAACCCAACCAGCCACCTCTTCACAGTATCTGGATTATTTCTGCACTACTCAATAGTAAAAGTTTAGGAAAGAATACACAAATTCTCCAAGGATTATAGTGAACTTTTTCTAGAATATTCTGTCAGCCTCCTCAGGGATTTCCTTAGCAAGAGGGGAGATGTTCCTCATGTCATACGAATATAATTTAATTTTCTGAGAATATTGGTTTTGAACATATAAAAGGTTTTAGCATCCACACATCCTGTGTTAAGAAATTTTGAAGTTGAACTGCATGGTGTGTGAAGAATTAGGTATCACATTTTGTTTATTATACACCTGGTAGCCCTAGTTCATTTGAAAAGTCACTCATCACTGCAAACATCTCTAGTACATCATTCCTTGGTAAGTAGTTCTAGTTTCCTAGGAAGGGTAGTCCTCACCTATTTGATCCTATCCTATTTGATACAAGGAATTCTAAGGAAACCACTTTGTGCTTTTGATTTCTCTGGTCACCTTCCACTGACCTCTTTTCATTTCTACCATATTCCTCAGCAGTGGGGGTTTAGAACTGTAGAATGGTTAAGATATGGGAGAGCTATCATTTTATGCAATTAGACAGTGATATTTTATGCTTTATTCCTTATTCCTTTTCCAGTAGTTCCTAACATTTTTTTTTAGCTTTATTACTGCTGCTGAACACTGAGCTAGCATTTTTATAGAACAGTCTAGTTCTTAAGTTCATAGAGTATTCAGAATTTAAAGGCTTTTTATTCCCATGCTTATCAGCTTAGACCTGTTTACACTGAATTTTATCTGCTGTTTTCTGTTTACCCGCTTACCCTCTACTTCCACTATGCTAATGTCAAAGATGCTTCTTTATTGAGCCTGCTTAATTGCCTCAGCTGTGCAAGAAAGGCATGCCATTGATAAGGAGAATGGTAACCTAAAATGAAGACTGATATAAAATGGGAAGTTGACATCTCAGAAACATGTCTGATTTTATTAAATAAGTATAGACATATTAATATATCTGACCTGTTGATATTTTACTACTCATCTAGTTTCTAGTTTTTATTTCTTTTATACATCCACAGATAACACAAGTACAAAACAAAGACATATAAATGATGTTTCATGTATCTAACAAATATAAGACTGGGAAAAAGGTGCTTGCTCTTCGTATCACTAAAAGTCTTGGACATTTATCCTACAGTTTCACAGATTTACTAAGAAGTTACATCTGGCTTAATTTTTCCTTTGTGTGACATCTCATTTCTATGGCTCAGAGCTTATGTGTAGATATTATAAAATGTAAAATGCAAATGCAAAATGCATCCACTCTGTACAAAATAGTCTCTTACTGATATTGAGCCGACTATTCTCTTTAAATGTTAATGAAACTGTTGTAATTACTGAAATACCAAAACAGCCTAAGAGCTGGAGATCACAGCTGTAGCCCATCACTCATAAATTTCTGGCACAGGCACTATCTTGGCAGAAAGAGTTGTACAAGAACTTGTTCATCATGCTTCCTTTTTCAGTAACAGATGGAGACCCAAAGAGCACAGAGTGAAAACTGAGGAACTTTCTTGTTCTGTTAGAGAAGTATAAACACTGTCCTGAACCAGAATCCCTATCTCCTCTCTTCCCCACACACCCCTGTTCTGTATTTTTTTTTCTGAGACATGGAATCCAGATTATATCATGACAACTACTGACCATACAATAAAACAAGCATCTCTAAAACTTCCTTTAAAAATTCCTTCTTCTTACATTTTAATCTGAAATTTATAATAATGCCTGCTTGTCCTCCTCCCCTCTCCCTCCTTTTCTTTACAGGAATATTGACTATGTTTAAAAGACAGGCAGGATGGGAGGAAAACGAGTTAAATAACACAGGGGGAGGAGGGTACTGTTGCATTTTTTGTGTGATATTTTTTCAGCCAGCTTGTGGCACAGATGCAGTTAAAAGGAAAATAGAGTACTTGAATGGGGTAAGTAACCTCAAGACAAAAAATGTCTAAGGGCTGTGCAAGCATAACTAGGCAGTAAAGAAGCAGTGATATCTATACTAAAGAAGGCTGGTGACACCTTGATTCTTTGATCTGTGAACTGTGTGACAGGCTTGCAAACGGATAGTTTATTATGTGGGAGGTGAATAGCAAAGTCCTACAGCGTTTCACAGGGTTAATATGTATAAAACAGCCATTTAGATGTGCTCCACAAATGGAGCGTGGGAGGAGCTTGCTTCAGCATGCAAGGAAGTTGTACGTGCGTCTGTGTCTATATGTATGTCTATGCATATATGCTTGTGTGGAGCACTGCACGGTACCCAGCTGGTCACAACAGCTGCAACTGGGAAGATCCGTACCGAAGCTGACCATGGAATTGCCAAATCCTCTTAATTCACCTTCTGATGACATTGAAGGTGGCCCAAGCCCGATCGGGACCTTCTTCTTATTTTCACGGAGGATCGCTATCGTTACACTCCATTTAAATTCAGGAATAAGCATCTCATGATGCCATGCTCCACTGCATCGGAACTGTATGAAGAAGGCGGTCTTGCAGAGAAAGGGAAAGACAGAGAGAGGGAGAGACTTCCCAAGCTGAGAAGAAAAAGAGACACTACCTGGTTTTGTTGTCTGTGGGTTGATTGTTATTTTTTTTTAAAGAAATCTGCAGCTCGAAGGTATTGGAATAATATTTCTGTAAGCCTTGTCTCAACAGCAATAAATTTATTTGTATCAACAGCAGAGCCAGATAATTCTGCTGTTGTTCTTACAGGGATCTGTTGTTTCATGGATCACATAGGGAATTCCAAAGAACACCAATCTTCATGTTACCTGACATTATGTGAGCTTAGTCAGCCTAGGCAAATAACTCATCTTTGAAGAGAGCTTACACCTCACCTAAGCTTATTTAAGTGTGCAGATGCTTGATTTCTTTTATTTCAGTTATATTTGAAAGTATGTTTGGCATGCAATGTACTGTTGATGTGTTTCTGGTTGTTTTGGGTTTTTTTTTCAGAGGTGTCTTTTTATTGCACACAAGTAAATGTGAAACTGCAAGAGAGTAATTATTTACTAAGGGGTAGAAAACATCTTTGAAAACATGCTGTTATGTGAAGAGTACAGAGAGACTACCTAGATTTTTCTATCATTACGCCACAGCCATGTAACTGTGGAAGAGTAAAAGCCAGTCACAGTGGAAATAAAAATGGCAAAAATATGTTGCTCAGATAAATTAAAATTAACATGATAAAGCATTAAGGACTTGGGTTTTTTCTAAATTATATTCTTAAAGCAGAAAAGCATGAGTTAATTGAAGTGAACAGTTATAACTGGCTACAAAGGTATTTTGTAAAGAAAAATACATCTAAAATTGAAATCCAGGAAATAATATATTATGCCTTAGCTGCATGAAAATAAAACTATGAAATGATAAACTTACATTACTGAAAATAATTCAGTGATTAAAAATCTAAAATGAGAAAAAACATAGAATGAGGACTTTTCTTGCCTGATATGGTAATTGGGTAATAAGATATATTTTACTGCAAATCAATTTCCTCATTCCACTTTAGAAGTACAATATAGCTCTGACAAAGTAGCATCTTTACGGTCCTATGGATTGACATCAAAAAGCCATAGTCTTCTTTGAAATCTATGGAGCTGTGATAAATCTTCATGGCTCTGTATTATAAAAGAAGAAAGGATTAAATAAAGATTTTCAGGAGCGGCATATTACTACACTATCTGGAGATGAAAGGATTGCATTATGGTGGTCTAGCGGTTAACGTTTCTTCTTGGGATTAATAACTAAATAGAATTTATAGCAACAGGAAAATAGTGTTACGGTATAAAGATTAAAACAATGGAAAACTGTTTAAGCCACTCAGCTTAAAGATTGAATTACAGGTTATGAATATTTACAGTATGTATAGAAAATCTTCCTTTAAGACGTGTTTTCTTAATTGCATCCTATGTCAATACCAGGGACAGATAACCATAGAAATACAACCATCCTAAATAGAACTGCATTTGTTTCCTGACAAATAATGTCAAATGAGTTATAAAAAGCAGCAACTGTCATTCACAGGTGCTGATCATGGTTTCTCTGCCTGAGTTGCCATTCTTTAAGAAGGGGGTCTATGATTAATACTGCTCTCCTTATAGATATAGGAGTCTTCAATTGGATTCTCACCTAGAAAATTTTTGAACAAGTAGTCTCTGGGAACAACAGAAAAAAAAAAAAAACCTAACTAGGGACTTAGTTTTCTTGATGAAAAAGTGTGTTTCAGGTTACATGGACTGGTGGATAAAATTTTGTCTTTTTTCTGTGAAAAAATTGGGCAGGTCAGGGTTCTTGCTTGCTTATTCTCTAATTTTTCAAGTTAACTGGGAAATATTTTGTACATGCAGACTTTTGGGATCATTCTACAAGAGGATGAAAACTACATGATTTCTGTGGATGTGAATGTTGATCCCCATCATGTCAATCTGCCAAGGAGTTCTGCTACTCATTTGATTTCCAAGGTCCAGTTTAACCATATATGAGGTCCTTAGGTACTCTTGGACCCCTAGGCTTAACACAATATGTCAAGGTTTACTGAATGTAAAAATTCACAATGAGGAAATAGGGTCATCATCACTATAAATATTTAAAATCTTCATATTCTCTCCTGTTTAGCTTTGTGAAAGGCTGTATTTAATGTGTCGTTAGATGCAAAATCTTATAAAATGCTTTGATGAGAGTAAGGGAAGAGTTTCTAATTTTGTTTTGTTTTCCTTTCTTTTTCTGTTTTTGTTTTGGGTATTGGGTGTTTTTTTTTTTTAGAATTCATAATTCAGTCTATTTCTCCTAATTTGGCACAAAGAGCGGATGCCAGAAGCTATCATCCTCCTGCATTAGATGGTACTAAAATTTGAAGCACAAACAAGTTTTTCATGGTAGCCCCAAATCTTTTTCCATAACAGAATACATTGGCTCCATTATCAAGGGATACTTTACACCTTCAGAAGCAGGCTAAAGTTAATCCGAGTTTAAGTATGACAGGGCTCAACAAAGCTGAATCAAAGCAAGTTGTATGCCAAATTCCTTTTGGAATAAAGTCATTCCTTTCAATAAAGTCATTGAAAGTTAACATGAATTTTTATGAGGTGCTATTGCTCCCATAAAAAATAAACTAACAAACATAAAGCAGAATTTAATTACTGCATGTAAATATGTATGGCGGTATAATGATTACAATGCATTGATTATAATATGTTTAATTTAACAGTCTATTATTAATGTTCCATATAAAGAAATGTAAAAGTTACAATACATGCCACTAAGAATGCAGTTGTCAAATATTCAACTAACAATTTTAAGGTATAAACTTTCTGTCTTTCAGATCTAGGCTTGCAAATAGAGGGTCATGTCACAAAGCATTCGCTCATACAAGGCTATTGTTTCACTGTTGGTTTTTTTCCTAAGCAGGTCACATCAGCCTCAGGAAAACAAGTTTACAGGGCGTTCAAAGGATTCCAAGTAAGCATGAAGAAAATGTCTGAAGAGACTTCAAGGTCTGTGTCAGGCCATGGAAATGAATGGATATTCCTTGATCTAAAAGTAAAGCCAAAATCATCCTACTACACTCAGTATTAACACTCTGGGTCTTTATTATGCTTGTGAAATACCCACACTTAAGAGAGAGTTTAGATTGTTACCCAGACAGTCAATTTGTTCCAGTCCAAATCTTTATTTCAGCTGAAGAAACCTATTATTAGCTCAAACAGCAACTTTCCCAGTTGAAAACACATGTAGCGTTTTAGCAAGCTAGATTTATGTAAGGTGGGTCATGAACTTTTATTGTATTCCTGTGGTAAATAACATACACAAACAGAAAAGCTGTTGACCACTTGTAGTGAACTGGCTCCCATATTTCAGTTTGAGACAGTTTAAATGAAGCAAAAGGAGAAAAGCTTTCATAAAGCTGTGGAAGCCACAACAAATTGATTTTTTCCACTGCTTTTGTTACCTCATGGAATTTCCACAGTGTGAGAGCCAAACATAGTTCCAGTTGAGATCTTTCTATTTTAAGAATAAAATACACACTTACCACAAAATATCTTGTACATATCCAAAGTCTAAACAATTAACTGGATAAACACTTCACTAAAGCAGCAAAATAAATATTTTTCTGCTTATATTTGTTGTTCATTTTCAGTAGCATTTTGTCATTTTCCAATTCACTGAGTAGTCAGCATATATAGAGTTCTCTTGAACAGACTGCACTTCTCAAAGGGTTATCTGTTTCATACCTGAAAGTACTACACAAAGACCTATAATTGAGGTCATGATTTGTGAAGCTAGGCCAGCAGAAAGCTTTTAAATCCCTGGCATCTGCAAGCTTATGTGTCATACTTCCTTCAGCAGTGTGAGCTATGTATCCAATCTAACATTCCTTCTTGGACTTTCTTAGGAGCATTTAGAGCTATCATCCCAGGTGTCTAGATCTTGCTTTGCCACACGCAGTACAGTCATATTCTTGGGATATACCCATACTGCAGTCAGGAGTGTGATACCTACATGCATAAGCACAGATGTGGTAGCTTTTCCCTAGTTGGCTCAAATACCAAAAGAAATGCTACAGCATTTCAGAAGTTACTGCATTTGTTCTCCTGAGCCTGTGGGTATTTGTATGACTGGCTCACCTTTTTTTAACTACTACTACTATTTGACTTAAAATGGCTAAATGTATGTGGATTTTGAATATATACAGTGTAGCTGGACTTGTACTCTTAGGCTGGCTTTAATCTGAGTTAAATAATCACTTGCTATATGCACGTCCACCTGCCAGTTCATCCCATTCTGAAATATAGGAGACAAAGAATGAAACGCTATCTGCAAGGTTGTTTTTTTCCTTCTGTGACTGTAAGGTGAAGATGATTAGCATAGATGATTAGCTTGGACCAACCGTCTTACTTTCAGTTGGATAAAGTTAGCCAAGGTGAATTTCATCCTGAATGATTAGATTGGTTCTTTGCTGAGCTGAGTATTGAAGATGATAAGGCTATTTAGAAAAAATCTGATTTCCACTGGACAGACGGGGATAGACCTGCTTTCATCCCCAGTGTCCTCAGCTGCTTTTACCTCAAGAGGAGCCATAACTTCATTTCATGAATCAAACACACACACACACACACACAAAAAAGGTTTGTTTCCATCTGGATCAATTCCTTCCTCCGATCATACACTTACTTGTGCCTCTGCAAAGAAAAAGGGTTGAGCATCCTTAGAAGGACATGAAGAAAAGGGGAATTGCTTTTGTTTACAACTGCACAGATGTATGCTAGAACAAAGTGGCTGTAAAACCATGCTCTTGGAAATACTGGCATTCCCTCTTGGCTGGTTTAAGTGTTCTAGCAGTGAGTTTGCTGTTTGCTGTGAATCCCAGCTGAGGAACCTGGCTCTCCTCTGTTTAAGACCAAGGAAACTTTAGAGCACAAAGTCAGGATTGTGAATTCCAAGTCTGGAGAAGGCACCTGGCTTTCAGGCACTGCAGCACGGAGCATCACAATTCCACTGCACCTTTCATGAACCTGAACCCTGCAGCAACCATGCCTTTCCTCAGGAGTTGTTGCTGATGTGGGATTGGATCCAGCCCTGGCCCACTGGTGTTGCTAAACTTTATGAACAAGGATTCCAAGTCATCACTACTCCTATTTTTATGTTGTTTAAATCAAGATCCAGACACTGATTTCCTCTTGGCAGCAAAATTCTCTGGAAGAGCTTTCTGGACCCAGAAGTAGTTCCTCCAAGATCTCCAACAGCTGCATATGAATATTCTCCGCCAGCCTCCCACCTTTCCATGTCAGCTTTTTGGACTTTTGTTTCACTTTTTAAGAAGGGGCAGTTAGGAACCCATGCAGAAGGGCTCCCTGAGAGCAAAAACAAATCAAGTCTCTATAAAAAAATGCATTTGTCCTACCATTCACCACCACCCCCAAGCACACACACACACACACACACACACGATATACACCAAAAAACAACAAACAAAAATTTGATCGTACAAGAAATATTGTGGTAGAATTTTTTTTTTTTTCTTTTCATTTTCTTTCCCCCACCCCTTATCCCCTGGGAAAGTGTTTCTGGAATGCAGTGGCAGGGCCATATGTTTTCTACTCTTTCTTTGGAGTGACATTATGTTACAAAAAATGAGAATTCTGGAACTTTACTCATGTGAGATTTTATTTAACACATTGTCATCTGCTAATGCTTTACTATGGAAAACATACTCTGTCTTAGTAAGTCAGGTATGACCCCCACCCATAACAATTATTTTTAAGTATTTACAGAAGCTATGTTAAAAAGTAATTTGTAATTAGAGTAATGAAATACTTAAACAGACTAAGCATATATTGAATAACTGAACAGAAATGTTTAATCTGGAATGATTTACCTGGGGTTCCATGTTCTTTTGCTTCCAATGCAATGATCCATACTCTTAATCTTTGTACTAGCATATGTCAAAATAATAGAAATTAGTCTTTAAAATCTATAGAACAGCACAAAAATCCACATTCCTTCTCTGAATATTCTTAGATATGCTTGTGTCTTATATGTGTGCATGTTTGTGCATGTGATTATATACATATGTGCCAATGAATATAAATGTTTCTGATGGTGGGAGTTTGCAAGAAGCTTGATTCATATATGTGAAATGTTGATTATGGGTATCTTTGCTAGCATCCATTTGTATGAGCTGCAATGCATGAATCAAAGCACTTCAATCTACAAAGATATTCCACACAACACAGCTTGGTTGCCATAGCATTTATCATGCAAAGTCTAGCCCCAGTTCATTGCTGAATTAAAGAATTCATCTCCAGGGAGCTAGATATACAGCACAAATTCTATAATATATTCTCTGGCAGAGAAGCCATGTCAATATAACAGCCATTCCCATACCAGAAAACATACTTTTTTTTTTTTTTTTAATGTATTTAGTCATGTCTGGATGCAGACAGAAACAGATCTTCTGCCTCTTATGTATACGCATTTGAGCTTTTGGCTCCTTTCTGCTTAATTTAGAGCTTAATTAAAATTGCTTTTTCTATTGCTCCCTCATCTTCAGTAGCTAAATAATGGTTGTAATCTTTCTCATTCTGTTATATAATTTGTGGTCTCTTCAAGTCACAATTTGCACTGAAATTTTATAGGGCCATCAAATGCAAAAGAGTGTCAGCTCTCCTCTTGACACGTCCATCATCAGGAAAACCTGCTAAGTGGGATTGCATGCCTGGCTGTGGGCAATCTAAGTTTAAGGTGTTGTTATACCTCAGATTTCTTGTATGGCCTTTGGCCTAGCAGTTAGTAGCATCTAAACATCAGTGCATGGTACTCATCTTCTGTAATAATGGGCAGATATGTACCATGCAATACCACTGGAAAGAACAGTGTTAAAAACTGCCCTTCCATAGAATTGGGGCATTAAAAGGCCTTATGTCTTAAAAGGCCTTATGCCTACATAAGGAAATGAAGCACAATCCCGAAGCAGTCAGGATGGCACTAACACAATCTGCTAGGTTTTCATGCACATTTTAAGAGAAAACTGTAAACACTATGAAGTTTTGGACTGGAATTCAATTCTGAAAAATCTTGAGCCATCTTCTGTGTCATGCAAGAAACCTGGTAATAAACTCCAGTGAAGACTCATATCCAGACCCAAGTGAAGGTTAGACGTTATAGGTCTGAACTATTTGTATTGATCAAGTCAGAAACATCTGTTGTTTCCAGCAGGAGATGATTCTTGGGCTGCAGGAGTGCTTCTGGCTTCCATCTTCTAAACTATGCCACTCTGCCATGTCAAGCATCTGAATCATTTCTCAGACAGCTGTAGTTTTTAATACTTGTGTCTGTCACGGCCAACTGAAATGTGGCAAAATACCTGTACTGGTGTTTTGTATCACATTGTGACACAGATGACATAATTTTGTTTTAAATGGGGAGTTTATCTTAAAAGTGGTTCCTCTGTATGACATGAATAACCCACCTGCTGGAAGATGTGTCTGGGAAGAAGAAGCAACCATAAAAAAAGGTATGCAAATAGCACTGCAAAAGAATGTTCCTTGGACATATGAAGGTTTATTACACAGATTAAAGGATTGTTATTATCTAGCAGCAACACATGTGCTTTGCCAGGGGTTTAGAAAACCTTTTTTGCCTGATGACGTGGAATAAGATTTATGAGAGGGGAATAACGTCTCCTGATCATACCAGATGAGACAGCAACAGACATCAGTTTAGAACATTAATTCTGACATGCATAGTGGCTGAGTGACACTTGGAGGTGTTGCACTGAGCTAGGTTGTGTTCCCAGGTGTAACCTTATGTGACCTGAGTTAATGTATTACAAAAAAATGCAAGAAATCTTGCTTTCTTCTCTTATGTAACACAGTAACAGTTTTGAACTGGACAAGAGGCAAGATAGACACAGATTTAGACCTTATAGTCTACTTACTCAGTATGTGCTATGAGCTCTTTGGTATCACGGGGAAAATTGTGCTCAATCTCCTATTAGTATCAGTAAATTGGTACTGAAGAAGAAAAGGTGAAATTCACTTGTGCTGCAAAATGTGTCACTTGGGAGCATAGAGAGGAAGGAATATCAACCACTTCTGCATACTCTCTTCCTTTTATAACATATTTGGACAGGGAATATGGATAAAGAGAACAACTCAGGAGTCTGATTTCTAGGTTGTGGAACTATCTAGTAAATAAACAAGGGTGATGGAAGTCAGGAAAAGAGCAGTAAATAATGGAACAGCAATGTTACTGATGACTTCTTGTTTAATATATATTTTAAGATTTTGTCTACATAAAGAGTTTATTCTTACTACACATATTTTCATCAAAATTACCTCCAATTCTAAATAAATTGTGCTCTTAAAATGTGAAACTGTTGATCTGTCTGTATAATTTGCTAAACTACTCTGCCTTCTTGGAAAAGACGCTCATTTGTCAAAACTTAATTCTGTATTGTTTTAATTTATCCTAACTCATGTCTATAAAACCAGAGCATACTGATATATATGAGAGCCAGCTAAAAGTGATATAACCCAATACCTTTAAATTTAAAAAAAGGAGCATATCATGAAAGAAATAACAATTAATTTCATCAGATCATACTATTAGGCCAAGC